CTCACGCCTGTAATCCCACCACTTTGGGAGGCCAAGGTGGGTGGATCACTTGAGGTGAGGAGTTCAAGACCAGCCTGGCCAACATGGTGAAATTCCATCTCTACTAAAAATACAAAAACTAGCCAGGCTTGGTGGTGGGTGCCTGTAGTCCCAGCTACTTGGGAGGCTGAGGCAGGAGAACCACTTGAACCCAGCAGGCAGAGGCTGCAGTGAGCCAAGATTGCGCTACTGCACTACAGCCTGGGCAACAGAGCAACACTCCATCTCAAAAACAAAACAAAACAAAAAAAACCCAAAAAACTATAAAGCATTTTTTGTTATGTAAATTATAGCTAGCAATACTTACCATATTTATAATAAAAACCAAGAGTTTTTTAAAAATATCATTTATTCTTTTATAAACAATAGCAATAAATTGATTGTATGCTAACAGCAGAGTGATGACATCATCACATATCACATAGCTTCTGGAAAATTCCACCATACACTTTTGAGAGAAGGAGAGTGAAATGGTCAGTAACATCTTAGTATTATCATGGAAAAGTTTTGATCTTATAGACCCCTCAACACCCAAAAGGAGTAATTCAATTCTACTCAAGTAAGATTTAAATATAGATATATTTTTTTTCTGGTCTGAGATTCTTCTCAACTTTAATCAGAAAACATATACCTGAAGGCGGAGGGGGAGGGTGCATGGATGAGTCTGTTTGTATGTGGTTGGTCACAGAACAGACAGAAAATAGTTATTTAATCTGAATCTGGACCCTGCTGAAAACTGCCCGTTATTTTTCATAACACTCTCCTGCCTCTTCAGAAATGAAAACTGGCTGATAGTTTCCTGAATGAATAATTTTCGTTAATCTTAACCATGTGATGTTGTTGAGCTAGAATGCTGACTCAACTGATCCATGAGGGGAGATCTGACACCAGATATGGAACCAGGACTTCCACCGAAATAGCTCTGGAAGTTGATTTTTTTTGTGGGAGCTGAGAGTGGGTGGGCGTGCAGAGCGATAGCACAATGGTTCTCAAAGTGTGTTCCTTGGAATAGTAGTAGCAGCAACAGCACCTGGGAATTGTTACAAATGCAAAACCTTTGGCTCTATTCCAGACTGACGACTCAGAAGCTCTGGAGACGGGCCCAGCGAACTGCTTTAACAAGGCCTCCAGGTGGTTCTGATATGCTGAAGATTTTGGTTAATGTTTGAGGACTGCTGGTATGCTCTTCTTTTCCTTTTTTCCTTAAAGACAGGGTCTTGCTGTGTTGCCCAGGCTGGAGTGCAGTGGTGCCATCATGGCTGACTGCAGCCTTGAACTCCTGGGCTCAAGCAATCCTCCTGCCTCAGCCTCCTGAGTGTCTGGGACTACAGGCATATGCCACTACCTCCAGCCAATTTTTAATTTTTTGTAGGGATGGGTCTTGCTATGCTGCCCAGGCTGGTCTCAAACTCCTGGCCTCAAGAGATCTTCCCACCTTGGTCTCCTAGGTAGCTGGGGTTACAGGCCTGAGCCACCGTGCCCGGCCTGATGTGCTCCTTTCCACAGTTACATTCTACTAGTGTGACCTCCATCCCTTCTCCCTCTTCACTTCCTTCTTTCTTTCCTTCCTTCCATAAACACTGATGTACGGATCCCTTTTTGGTGTTCTTAGACCCTTCTCAGGAAACGTTGATTTGCATGTTGTGTGTCCACGTGTAAACATCAGATTAGTGCAGGCCAAATTCAGGGTATCATTCATAGCAATCCCAAAGAAACTAACTCTTAAAGAGGCCTATTAGTAATGCACAGGTAAAACCTTGATAAGTATGATTCTCTGCCTGGGACCTCATTTATCCTTCTGTTCCTGACATTGCCTCATGGGTTTGGCTGCCCCGTTTTGAAGTTACCCAAAGATTATTCTGCCACGGCCTCTGTTTTTTTAGAAATTCAAGACTGAAGGCTCAGTAGAAGGGGGTTAGCTTAGAGGATTGAGCCAAGGGTAAAACGATTTCTGGGTAGCAGCCCAGAGTTCTTGAAGGATGTTCATTGGGTAACGTGAAGGGGAGAATCAGCAGTCAGAAGTGGCTGGGAAAGGAACCACGTGGACAATGTCCAGTTGTATCGGGTACAGGGTGTGTGTGTGTTGTGTATTTACATTAGTGCTAGGGCTTTCCTTGGGATTCCTGAACTGGGAAGTTGGAATGACATGAATGTAAACCTACTGTTCTTTATACTACATATAGCGTGGCGAGAGTTCCACACCATTCATGCTTTAATGAACACATATACATGAAAATAAGATGGACAGTTCTAGTGGTCTTGCCCTTTCTCTTCAATGACGAAATTGCTATTTAGAAGTGGGTAGCGCTCGCTCTCTGATGGGACTGAGTTGGTGTAGAGTCAAAGTTGCCTCTGCCCCGTGTTCTGTGATGTGACTTCAGAGCTTCCAAAACCCAGGCGAGCACAAGGGATGTCTCCTGGGTGAGCATTTAGCACCTTTGATTTCGCTTGGGCTTCATGACTTCTGTTGTCTGTTCTCGGCTTCTTACCAAGAAGTTCTTGTTCTTTTGGTTTTCTAGATTGTTCTTCTATTCTTCCTCCTGTAGTGGTGTAACAAAGTCATGGTCATATGTGTAATATGGCACCAAAAAAATGTGGCCCCCACTCTAAACCAGTGTGCGCGCCACCATGCCTGGCGAATTTTTGTATTTTTAGTGGAGACGGGGTTTCACTGTGTTGGCGAGGTTGGTTTTGAACTCCTGATCTTGTGATCTGCCCGCCTCGGCCTCCCAAAGTGCTGGGATTACAGGCATGAGCCACTGCGCCTGGCCTAAGTTTTTAAAAACTATACAGCAGACAATAGCTGTGGAACAAGAATAATAAACAGCAACTAACTGTGCTAAATGATTTGCGTGCAGTAAAGCACTTAGTTTCTAGCCAGCACTCTGCTATAGAACTTTATGAGATGACGGAAATCTTTTCTAGTTGTGCTGTCCAATAACACAGACACCCGTGGCTAAGGAATACTTGAAATGTGGCTAGTGCAACCGAGGAACTGAAGTTTTAATGGTATTTAATTTATTTGAGTTTAAATACACTTAAGTATCCACAGGTGGCTAGTGGCTACTGTATTGGACAATACGGTCTTAGTCTTTTCCCAGTCCTTATTTGGCTCATGGGAATTTCTAATTACTCCCTACTTCACACAGAGTTCCCACAGCAAAAGGCTCCAAGCGGAGGTGTGCTGGTGATGTTTAACAAGCAGCTCTCTGACGACGTTGCCTATCTTCCCTGGTGTAAATCCTCCCTCCACACCCAGCTTCCAGCTGGCAATGTGACATCACTGACCACGTGATTGGAAAGAGCTGCGTAGTAGCCACCGTCAAACGGTATTTCCACCATGCAGACACAATCGATGTAAACCACCCAGGGAACAAATATAACAGTAAAATGTAGCAAATAATTAGGAAGTGATTAGTTGTAAGTAATTCTTGTCTTTGATTTTCATGTAGTTTATTGAATTGTAAATTTAAATACTTTATTTTTATTTTTTTATTGTTTTGAGACAGCGTCTCAATCTGTCAGTCAAGCTAAAGTGCAGTGACGTGATCACAGCTCACTCCAAACTCGCACTCCTGGATTCAAGAGATTCTCTCACCTCACCCTTACCAGTAGCTGGGACTACAGGTATGTGCCACCGCGCCCAGCTAATTTTAAAATGTTTTTGTAGACACAAGGTCTCGCTTTGTTGCCCAGGCTGGTCTCAAGCGAGCCTCTCACTTTAGTCTCCCAAAGTGCAGGGATTACAGGCAGGAGCTACTGCTGCCAGCCTAAATGCTTTAGTTTTACATAATGGCTATGCTTAAAAACCAGTTTGCAGAAGTCCTGAAAATTTAACCGCTGCCTCTCACAAGCCACCGTGAGCCTTCTCTAGCACGTCACGGACTCCTGGTCATTGCCCAGAACAAACAAAAAATATTTCCCCAAACAAAACTCTCTTTGGCCAGGCTACGGTGATCTTTCGGTAATTCAAATGCAGCTTTTCTGTTGCCACAAGAGGGCACCACGAGTTGATAGCAGATTCTAGGAAGGATTTTGGACAAACTGACTAGAGGAGTCATTTCTAGATGTATGTTTGAGTCTCCCTAAAGACTGTAATTCTGGGAGACTTTGTGGGAACTCACATAGGTTCACACAGTTCTTTGTTTCACAACATCAACACTGAACCATTCCTACTTCCAAATAGCTTTGTCCTCTGGGCCCGAAGGCTTTTGGTCTTCAAACTAACAAATGAAAAAAAATCCTTGCAAGGTGTTAAGGCTTGTCAAGTGTTCAGCCTGAGGAAGGAGAGGATGCAAGTACTGAGTACACCTACAACACGTCAGCCATGTCACATCCTTCCCCTCCTGGAATCCTAAAATGACACCTTGGGAATCCGCTGACCCCTTAGAGAAACTGGTAGACTGTCGGTTATATGGATCATTCCTGCTACAATAACCCTGGAGGCTTATCATTTGCATTGCAGTAATTTATACTTTTATATTCCAGGAGGAAAGTTAGGGTATATTATGGGCCTGATGACCCATATAAGAAAGGAAGAGATACTTTATTTTTCTCTCTGGCTGGGCTAAGTGCTTTGGTTTTGGGGGCGTGGATCTGCATTTTCTCAGGGTCTTACTGTGGAGTTTGTATTAGGGTTGGCCAGAATATATGCTGGCAGGGGTCAGGGAGGCCCTGGATAATCAAGAGAGATAAGTTTCTAGAGTTTACTTTTTCTTTTTCTTTCTTTTTTTTTTTTTCCTTTTTTTTTTTTTTTAAACAGAGTCTTGCTCTGTCACCCAGGGTGGAGTGCAGTGGCATGAACTCGGCTCACTGCAACCTCCGTCTCCCGGGTTCAAGTGATTTTCCTGCCTCAGCCTCCTGAGTAGCTGGGATTATAGGCCCACACCACCACGCCCAGCTAATTTTTATATTTTTAGTAGAGACGGGGTTTCTCCATGTTGGCCAGGCTGGTCTCGAACTCCTGACCTCAAGTAATCCACCCGCCTCGGCCTCCCAAAGTGCTGTGATTACAAGCGTGAGTGTGGCCAGCTTCCCTGATTCTTAATGCTGTTATCCTAGTGCGGTGATGCTCAGAGTCTGCTCCCTGGAACCGCAGCATCAGTATCACATGGGAACCTGATAGAAATGCAGATTCCCAGACCTAAGCAAGACAAGACGACTGCAACAGAGACTCCACGGGTGAAACCCAGCAATCTGTGCTTTAACGAGCCCTCCAGATGATTCTTTAAACAAACGTTTTTAAGTTGACACACAATAGTTACACATATTTATGGGGTATGTAGGGATGCTTTGATACCTGCAATGTGCAGCAATCAGATCATGGTATTTAGCATATCCATCATCTCAAACATTTATCATTTCTTTATGTTCCTACAGATGATTCTGGTGCAAATTCAAGTTTGAAAACCAATGGCCTAGTGTAGGGTTGTCAAACCTGGATGCATATGTATTAGATACATCCGAGGGGCTTTAAAACGTACAACTATCCCAGACATAAAAGGCCATATGATTCCATTCACACCAAATGTCCAGAATAGGCAAATACATAGAGACGGAACACAGAGTAGTGGTTTCCCGGGGCTGGGGAGAATGCGGAACTTGGCAGTGCGGGGCTTCTCTTGGGAATGACGGAAGTATTCTGGAATCAGTGGGGATGGCTGCACAACATTGCAAATATACTAAATACCACTTACTGGGGTTTGAATACACCCTCCAGAGCTCATGTGTTGGAAACTTAATCCCTAATCCAGCAATGCTGACAGGTGAGATCTTGAAGAGGTGATCAGGTCACGAGGGCTCTGCCTCATGAATGGATTAATGTTGTTATTGCAGGAGTGGGTTTGTGATAAAAGCTGAGTTCAGCCTCTCCTGCTCTCTCTCACTCTCTTGCCCTTCTGCCTTCTGCCACAGGATGACATAGCACAAAGGCCCTTGACACATGGGGGCCCCTGGACCTCAGACTTCCCAGCCTCCAGAACGGTAAGAAATCTGTTCTTTATAAGTTACCCAGTATCAGGCATTCTGTTACAGTAGCACAAAATGGGCTAAGACACCACTGAACTGTATACTTTATGACAGTTAAATGATGAATTTTATCTTAATTAAAAATAGGTACTGGCAGATCACGAGGTCAGGAGATCGAGACCATCCTAGCTAACACGGTGAAACCCCGTCTCTACCAAAAAAATACAAAAAATTAGCCGGGCGCGGTGGCGGGCGCCTGTAGTTCCAGCTACTCGGGAGGCTGAGGCAGGAGAATGGCGTAAACCCAGGAGGCAGAGCTTGCAGTGAGCTGAGATCCGGCCACCGCACCCCAGCCTGGGCGACAGAGCGAGACTCCGTCTCAAAAAAAAAAAAAAAAGGTACTGATGTCTTGGGTTCACCCCCAGAGATTCTGATTGGAGCCTAGTCATTGATACCTTTTACCTTTTTTTTTTTTCTTTTGAGACAGAGTTTCACTCTTTTTGCCCAGGCTGGAGTGCAGTGGCATGATCTTGGCTCACTGCAACCTCTGCCTCCTGGGTTCAAGCAATTCTCCCGTCTCAGCCTCGCAAGTAGCTGGGATTACATGTGCTCAACACCATGCCGGCTAATTTTGTATTTTTTAGTACAGACAGGGTTTCACCATGTTGTCCAGGCTGGTCCCGAACTCCTGACCTCAGATAACCACCTGCCTCGGCCTTCCAAAGTGCTGGGATTACAGGTGTGAGCCACCGCACTTGGCCTATCTTTTAATTTTTTAAATTATTATGCTGTTTTGGCTGAACAACCTACATAAGCTACAAAAATATTTCTTATTGCAACAAATTTGTTCTTCTATTGTTGCAAATGAAGATTCCCCCCAAATTCAAAGTGGGTCACAATGGTTTTGGTGACATGATTTCCCTCTTGTAAACCTCTCTTAAAAGATGTCACAGCTATGAATAACACTGAGCCACAGGAGAAGCACAGCCCTTTAGACCGCCTTCCTTTTCCTGTGGCATTTACTCGGACCTTGCCACTCGCTGGTATTTTAGAAGACTCTCTCCTGGATGTTCTAAGAGGCATCCAGGGTTGGAAATCTGAGTTAATGCAAAAAGACCACACATGAGTTACATTCCTGGTCAAGGGGATGCTGGTGTGAGCCTCTGCAGAAGGGAGGGTGGGGAGCACAGGACAGGCAAAGCTCAGCACAGATGCTGCTCTGGGTCCTCTATAGGTAGGGGCTAGGTGGGAAAACCATGGGCTCTAGATTCAAGTTGCAGTGCTGGCCTCTGCTGTGCCACCTTCTTCAAGCTGTTGCATCTCTCTAGGCCACAGCTATTCCAAAGGTTTCTGAGAAGGTAGATTTCAATAATGTTTATAAAACAAGCATCAAGCCTGGTGTATAGTAGGTGCTCAATGAATGTGAGGCTCCTTTGCCTTCCCGTTTCCCTGGTGCTTTAATTTTTGTTTGTTTGTTTGTTTGTTTTTTGAGACAGAGTCTTGCTCTGTCACCCAGGCTGGAGTGCAGTGGTGCGATCTCTGTTCACTGCAACCTCTGCCTCCTAGGTTCAAGCGATCTTCCTACCTCAGCCTCCTGAGTAGCTGGGATTACAGATACCTGCCACCATGCCCAACTAATTTTTTGTATTTTTAGTAGAGACGTTGGCCAGGCTTGTCTCAAACTCCTGACCTCAGGTGATCCACTCAGCCTTGGCCTCCCAAAGTGTTGTGATTACCAGCATGAGCCGCCGCACCTGGCGGTGCTTTAATTCTTTTTTACTGACTCTTTTGGAGGCATGGATTGGCCTCTCCTTTTGCCAGTCCCTGAACTGCAGGTGATTAGAGCAAGCATGGGGCAGGGTGGGCAGGGCTGGGTGCAGGACTTTGATTGCGTGCTGCCTTGGTGATACCGCACTTACTGTCTCCGCTGCCAGGTGAGCCCACTCAGCAGGAGGACGCTGATCAGCAGGAAAACACAGCCGGCCACTGTCAATAGAGAGAGGGAGTTCAGCAAAGGGCCCTGGGCTTGGCATGGGGGCAGCAGGAGCCAGGCCCACAGGGCAGGCTGAGGACATCCCCAAAGAGCAAGGTGGAGGCTGCAGCCTCTCTTCCCTGTCTCAGGACGCAGGTCCCTCCCTGTGGGATTTCCTAGGAGTCCGGAGGAACAGGGCGGGGAGGACAGGGTGAGGGTGGAGGGAGCTTCCCCTCAGTATGCACCCTTCTCTCACACAAGCCCCTCAGAAAGGCTCAGAGGCCAGGCCTCGTTTAAGGACACCGAGAGCACCTGGTAAAAGAAATGTTAAAATATGCAGATGATGAGAAGCACATTAACGTCTCCTGAAAGGGTTCAGGTTTTCCGGACACTGCTCTGCTGAGGTTCTGGAGCCTGACGTTTATTTACTTTCTAGGCAGATGCAACCTCAGAGTGTGTTTTTCCCTCCTACCAGGAAACGACGGCCATGTTTCTGCAAGCCTGTCCTCTCTGCCTGGCTACATGGCTCCTTCCTCCCACTGTTGACCCCTGACAGAGGCTCAGGGTACAGCCCTTCCAGATCAGCTTGAGAGGGGCTGATGTGACTGACTTGAGATTTCGCTCACAGCATCCTGTAACCGGTTCATGGGATTCTGAGCTGTCAGCATCTGGATTAGTTTTTCACTCACACATTCTGCAGTGTAAGGAAGGGGTCTTTTCAGTCAACCAACCAACCTACCAATCAACTAACCAACTAACCAATCTACCAACCAACTAACCAACCTACCAACCAACTAACCTACCAACCAACTAACCTACCAACCAACTAACCAACCAACCAATCTACCAAACTATCTACCAACCAACTCACTAACCAATCAACCAACCAGTTAACCAACCAAACTACCAACCTACCACCCTACCAACCAACCTACCAACAAACCTATCAACTTACCAACCAAACTACCAACCAACTAACCCACCAAACTACCAACCAACTAACCAACCAATCTGCCAATCTACCAACCTACCAACCAACCAACCAACTAATCCGCCAACATACAAACCAACCTGCTAACCAACCAACCAACTAACCAATTAACCTCCCAACCTACAAACCAACTTGCCAATCAACTAACCAACCTACCTATCAACCTACCAACCAACCAACTAACCTACCAACCAGTCAACCTGTCCATATCTCAGCCTGGTGTACATTTTGTCCACAAAGCCAGTGCCCCACTCACCTGCTACCTGGTACTCTGTTGTAAATATGAACGTTTCCATGGTTGCAGTCACTTCTGTCTGTATTTGAAAATCTGTGAAAAAGAGATAGAGACACTCCTGCTATTGTGACTTTAGGATGGCACGAGGCTAAAGGCAGTCTGGGCGTCTCTGTGGATGAGAAGCTCAGAGGCTGGTAGGAGACACGTGGTGGTGGTGAGGACAGAGTTCCATCTCTGCCTGGGGACTGTGCTTGGTCTTGGTCCTGGGTTCTCTCTTTCTGACACTTGCTTTGGGGCCTGCAGGTCGCTGAGGCCCTTTCCCTGCTGAGAGGGAAAGGAGGCTGCTGTGGGCTTCTCCCCTACAGGTCACCTCCGCCCATCTCTCTGAGCCTGGCTCCTGGCCACCCCTGCGCTTTTGGACTAGGCCTCTGGGGTCCAGCGTCTGTCTTCTCCCGCACCTGTTGTTGTGACGAGGCGGGAAGTCTCACTCTCAGGAAGGCCGTCGGGGCTTGCCTGAGGCTCCTCTTCACCTGGGGGAGAGAGTGAGTGATGCTGGTGGAGCTAAAGACAGGCGTCAGGGCGTCACTCCCACCCCGCCTACCCTGGGCAGCCGGCCCCAGATACGCCTGAGGAGGCGTATGAATGAATCCTGGTGTGGGCACTTTGCCGGGGATGCCACCCCACATGGTTCCACACCAGGGGCACTGGGAAGCTGTGAAGTGGCCTCAGCAGAGCAGACGAGGCTGAATTCTAACTCTGACCCTGGCTGTCCCCACATCTCTGAGCAATGCTTTCTCCCCAGCCTCCCTACTCAGTCTGGGTTTCCATCTGTGACTTGGAAACAGGTCATAATAATACAAATGTCACTGAACCATTGGATGGAGCAGAGATGCACTAAGGGACAGCTGCTTCTGTGCCAGGTTCTCCAGCCCTCCTGAGGGTAGCAGCCCTGGCTCTGCCCTGCCTCTCACCCTCTTCCAAGGAAGCGGCAGGCATTCCCCGGCTGTCAGGGTAGCCCAGGGAGGTTGCTACGGGAACAAAACAGCCTCCCCAGGGAACCCAAGAGAAGGACATGGAGTATGAGAAGTGCAGTGAGCAAGAAAACCAGGAATACTTGTGGTTGAATGTAAGTCGTTTTTTGTTGTTGTTTTTTTTTTTTGGTTTTTTTTGTTTTTTTTTTTTTTGAGACAGAGTCTTGCTGTTGCCCCAGGCTGGAGTGGAGTGGTGTGATCTCAGCTCACTGCAACCTCCACCCCCTGGGTTCAAGTGATTCTCCTGCCTCAGCCTCCTGAGTAGCTGGGATTACAGGTGCCCACCACCACACCCAGATAATTTTTATATTTTTAGTAGAGATGGGGTTTCACCATGTTGGCCAGGCTGGTCTCGAACTCCCGACCTAAAATGATCTGCCCGCCTTGGCCTCCCAAGGTGCTGGGATTACAAGCATGAGCCACCGCGCCCAGCCTGCATGTAAGTCACTTTTGATTGTCGCGATACTAATAAGATTTCAGAAGGAAGATAGCAGGAGACCTCAACATCGGTGGGCTGAGCGTTTGCATGCATGTGTGCGTGTGCATGTGCACTGAGTAAGTCCCGACACTGCACATTTTGTGTTGATTTATCCAAGCTCCGCTGGGGAATGGCATATGGGCAAGGAGCATGCTGACTGCAGAGTACTGTTCAAATCATGCATTTACACGATCACCAGTAAGAGGAAAAATGCGTGAGTGGGAAAACTGGACTTGCCCTTGGAGCCAGAGGAGGCCTCGGTGGCTTAGAGAAGTAGTGGACTCAGGACCAACTATGAGGCAGCATCT